TCTACACCCCCCCCCCGCCCTTTCCTTCCTCCCACTCTTTTCCGACCCCTTCCCTCCTCACCCATCACCCTCCCACCTCCTTCCCCCACCTCCCCCGATCCCTACCTCCCCCTCCTGCGGTCTCTCCCACCACCCTCCCACGCCACCCCTCTCCCCCTCCACCCTTGGACATTTGGAGAGAAAAAGAACCGTTTTTTTTCTCTTTCGAGCGGGTGTCGATATGAAGACGCTCACATTATGTCTGTACTCAACCCATGTCCTTTCCTCAGCTATTGCATCCGGGCAACAGGCCAGTTTTTGTTTACTTGTTTACTTGTGTGAAGGACAGATATCACTGCACAAGGGGCATCCCCATAAGCGCTCCGTCCCCTGAAGAAGCACATCTCGAAGTGTGTAGATGCAAACGGTTCCAAGCAATGGTTGATTCCATAGCCTTTTGCTCCTCCCACTAAGTCTTGAACTTCTGCAGGCGCCCCATCCAATTCCAAGCTGACGAAGTCGCTCAAGATGATGGTATTCCGACTTTTCTAGGCCACTCCTAGTGAGCAGCAACACCCCCTCAACGCTTATCTTATCCTAACATATCTTATCTTATCTTGTCTTATCTTGTCTTATCTTGTCTTATCTTGTCTTATCTTGTCTTATCTTGTCTTATCTTGTCTTATCTTGTCTTATCTTGTCTTATCTTATCTTAACCCCGAACCCCCCAGGTGCCGGAGAGTTCTTCAGCATCCCTGAACGCATCGTCCCCGGGAAGAGTGACAAGTTGACCTTGAACTGTAGTCCTCTGTCTAGCAGCCGAGGCCGGGGACCAGTGCTGGCCATTCTCATCCGGAAGTCGAATGGACAGCCCGTAAACCAGCAGGGAAGTTCACAGTTCGGAGGCTATGGCGGAGGAGAAGGTGGGTCAGATTTGTTCTTCTTTTTAATCTTCTTTTCTTAAAAAATATAGGAGGGTACTTTACAACCCCGTCGACACATTTCTTTACTCAGTTCTCTCTGCTCCCGTCAGTACCTAGTTTCGAGAAATATAACTTTTTAACATTTTGAGTTTCAGTTTTTTAGTTGAGGTTTTACGCGTGCAGCGCTCGCAACTGCATCAGGTCATATGAGCGCCAGAAAATTAGAGGTGTTACAAGAGAGTAACAAATATAAAAAAGGAGGGGAGATGAGGACGATAGATGTTTGATTGGAAAGAAGAAGAAAACCACACCAGAGCACCCGCCAACCACCCACATTTAAGTTTCATTAAATGTCAAGGTGTAATCTGACGACTACGAGTGCGGTGCCCTAATCATTAGACTGTTAGACTTCTGACGTTCAAGCAGGGGAAATTTTTTACAATTAATGTTAAATCAGTACGATATCGTGTGAACACACCTTCTTACACGAATTCTCCCCACTTCACCCAGGCGCGAATGGGTACCGTGATGTCGACAGTGAAAGATCTTGTCATTTTGTAAGGGTTTCTGCGCTTAACCAGGTGCTTGCACTGTATGCTTCCCGGGAAGCTGAGAATGTTTCTAAGTGTTCTATGGCCTTCTGGGGTAACAATATAGTGTAAAGCGCATAGAGCCTGCTTTCGAGTGGGGACAAGCCCTATACAAATGCTTTTTAAAAAAAAATATTATTATTATTACATACCACAGTCTGCAGGAAGGAATAGGTGATCTACACTTTCCCTCCTGATTTTTACCCTCCAAATGTTGTCGACAAAATGTCTGTGGTGTCAAAGGAAGCTAAATGATTCCCCCATATTAAGTTATTGGGAAAAGGCAAACCAAGGAAGGTAAGGCCATAAACATATTCATTTTTATGAAAATAGAATGTAAATGGAAAGTACAGCTCATTTGCGAAGGAGCTGGAATCTGTGGTAAAGTAGAGAAAGGGACAAATGAGTCAAAATAGCAACCAAAATTATCGCAGATTAAATTGGCTGTCGACACTATGGTCCGTGGACATCTGGAGGGTAAAAGAACCGTTTTTTTCTTTTGAGCGGGTGTCGATATGAAGATGCTCACGTTATGTCTTTACTCAACCCATGTCCTTTCTCCAGCATTTGCATCCGTGCAACCGGCCAGTCCTAGTGACCAGCAACAGGAAGGTCAACAACAACAAGGTCAACCACAACTGGGTCAGTCACAACAAGGCCAATCTCAACTGGGTCAATCTCAACTAGGTCAGTCACAACTAGGTCAACAGCAACTGGGTCAGCAGCAACTAGATCAGTCAAATCTGGGTCAGCCACCTCTCCACAGCAGGTACCACCGTAGCCGGTCACGTCACAGAAGGGCAGCCCGGGCTCACCGCTCCCCGGAGTTCCAGTACTCCTCGCTCACGGGGTCAGGGGTCACCACCGTGCCGAACGACAACAGGTCAGTGACCTTAGCGAGGATTTTTGCATGCAATGCATGTGTCTGTTTGTTTTTCCTCGTTCTTTTTTTTATCTACCTTTTTTTTCTGTATATGTGTCTGCCCGTTTGTTTTTGTGTATTTCTTTATCCATCTGTTTGTTTTTCGGTGTATGTATTTGTCAGTCTGTTAGTTTTTCGGTGTCTTTGTTTATCTATGCTTCCCATAAGGTATCAGATGCTATCCGCTCTGCTTGGGTAATAATACAGACTGTAAAGTGCAGAAAACTTGCTGTTGGCAAGAATTTGCTCTTATCAAAAGCTATTGTTATTTTTTCCCACCCTGGATCAAGGTATAAGCCACTAATAAACCTGTTCCACACCTTTCACCTTTCCCTATTTCTTGCCTTTCAAATTTTCCTGTTCATCATTCTCCCTGACTCTTCCTCGGGTTCCATGTTGCCTTTTCCTTGTTCTCAAACATCGGGGATTCCCCACTTTTTTGTTCTTCATTTTCTGTGACTGATCTTGGTTCCACGTCCCCCCCCCCCCCCCCCCTTTAAAAATGTAAACTCTCTCTCTCTCTCTGCATTCCATCTTACATATGGTTAGTTTAGTATGATTTTTAGGCGATCAAAACTTCATGAGGTCATATGAGGACACAAAACACAAACTGATTGCCTTCACAGTAGTTCATAATAAAATTGTACCGTAGAAATGTTCGTCGTTAAAAGAACAGCAATTTATATTTAACTAAAATAATACTAGTTATTACTTTTTACTGTATAGGCCAATGACCTTCATAGATTCGAGGATTCTAATAGGATCAACGACGGAGAACAGATCTTTCATATTTCAACATTTCCTTGGGTTATAAGGCGCACAGAGCATGCTGTAGGTCGTGTATTTGTGCTATATGAATGAGAATATAATACGTTTTGTTGCTGTTGTTGTTGTTTTTGTTGTTTTTCTTGCTGTTGTTTTTATTGTTGTTTGTAGTAGTAGTAGTAGTAGTAGTAGTAGTAGTAGTAGTAGTAGTAGTAGTAGTAGTAGTAGTAGTAGTAGTAGTAGTAGTATCACAATTACTATCACTACTATTACTATTACTATTATCATTATCATCATTATTATTTCCGCATTACTATTACTATTACTACCATTATTACTATTACTATTGCTATTACAGTTATTATTACTATTATAATTATTGTTGTCTATCTGTGTTCCCCACAGAGTGGAGGTGAGCGGCAGCCTAACTGAGCCCCCACACCTGAGCCTGGTGCTGCACGCCCCTGGTCAAGCCGACCTGGGGGAGTACGAGTGTCAGATGACCTACATGGGTCAAGGTGGGAGAGTGGACATTGTCCGACAGACACGTACTGTCACTGAGGGTGAGTGCTGATGTGTGTGTGTGTGGGGGTGGGCGGGGTGGGAGTGTGTGTTGTGTGTGTGTGCGTGTGTATGAGAGAGTGAGAGAGCGTGTGTGTGTATGTGTGTGTGTGTGTTTGTGTGTGTGTGTGTGTGTGTG